AAAGCCGGTTTCGAGCAATCGCTCGGGTGTATACAGGGTGTTGGATAAGCTTTTTTAAATGGTCATTTAAAAATTGTTCTTTAAGTATCACATAATTAAATTGCGTGTGAACGGGTAATAAATTACAATGTTTGAATAATCCTTGATCATTGTCCCTGAATTTGTTTTTTTATATTTGATGACACAATATTTTTAAGGATTTTTATTTGCAGTTTGTATATTTGGTTGAGATAAGTTTTAAAAGTCCTACCGTAACTGCTTAGTCCATACCGGATATATGATTCAGCTAAGGAATTATACAACATAAGTTTAACTTTGAAGGGTATTCGGTTCTTAAGAATTATAATATTAGCTAAAAATTGCCTTAACCTATTACAAATATGCTCAACGTGCTTGCCCCAGTTAAATTTGTTGTCTATCTCAAGTCCTAGATATTTTTGAGAAGCTACTACCTCTATACGAGGACAGTTACATGTCCCCGTACGAATGTCATGCAAACATTTATGATCGTGAGCAATTATATTTTTAGGATAATAGCATTTTAAATATGGCGACTTTATTATTACTAATTTGGTTTTATTAGCATTGAGTACTAATCCAGAATCGTGGCACCACTTTAATAATGAGTTGAAATCAGATTGCAAACGATCACATGCACTTTGAGGGTCCTTATCAGCTACTACTAAACAAGTGTCATCTGCAAACTGGTAACAAGTGCTGTGTTCTATACAGCTACTCATATCGTTCACATAGGCCAGAAAGTGTAAGGGCCCCAAGACTGAACCTTGTGCTGTGCCCTCTGTAACTTCAATTGTCTTACTTAAGGACTCACTAACCTTAACAGAAAACTTTCTGTTATGCAAGTAGTTCCCGCACCATTTCAGCAAAGGGCCACGTATGCCACTAATTTCTAGTTTATGTATTAGATTTTTATGATTTAATGTGTCAAAAGTCGAGAGAAGTCAATAAATAAAGCGTATACTATTTTTTTCTGATTAAGGAAATCGTATAGTATCGCTAATTGACATTTGTACCATGAGATTAGTTTAAAAATAGGGTTTTAGGGGCGACGGGTATTGGGTCTCTAATAATCTCATTCACACCGGCAAAAGGGAACAATTTTAATGTGATTTCCTTCCAGTTTTTTCCAAAGGCAGAGAAACGACTCTTGATCAATCGGCTCATTCGTTCCGAATTATATAACTCTTCTAAATGTCAAATATCAAATTTTATTTTTAATTCTTATTTTTGCTGTTTCATTTTAAACAATAAAAATGTTGTCATATGTATTTTTTTAAGCCAAATTAGAATTTTGTTTAATAATAATGGATACGGCTAGGTGCGGTCACATACATTTGTGTCTATATGAAATAAATCTACAAAGATACTAATTTAGGTATCTTATGAAGCAGCTAGCAAGTTTAATTTTCATTTTCATTTAGGTACACCATGAAAAGATGAAACGTCCTTTATCTATTCGTCTCAAAATAAACCTCCAAAGTCTACAAAACATTAATCTTAGTCGGCTTTGCATTAATTAACATTAATTGTATCTTTTTAAACACCAACGAAAGATAACAGCATTGTAGGAAGATTTTATTCAAAAGTAATATTACTTTAACATTAAATTATAAAATTTTGCGAATATTTTCTGTAGCGAACATTACACAAAAGACTTTTCTACTTATTATTTAAATGTCAACTGGTTTGCGGTAGCTATTGTTATTTATGAATCCTACGCATTTTGAGGTCATTTGTAGGAGCCGAAATTCTAAGAAAAAAATGTCATCGTATACATAAGAATACTACTTCTATAAATGTGGTTGCAGGTGAAAGCGCAATAATATATCGCGGCCACGGCCCAGAGCAAGAGAAAAAATGGGTTGATTTTTAGTCAGTAACAGTCTGGCACTCTTTCTCGTCTCACTCACTACGCGGGATGTAAAAACAAGCAATTAGTCATAAGTGTAACGTTTCTCACATACCGAAACCTTACTAAACATTTAATATAAAAATCTACTTTTATTTCCGATTCACATGAAAATCGTAAAAGGAATGTGATTTTCTAACTAAATAGTATAAACAACTTAGAATCACTGTTTACAAGTCAAGCTTCTGTGAATAATCGATAGAACATCACAGGAGCGCTGCGTAGAAAATCATTTGCATCAGAGCCGAGAACGAATGACGTCCATTGTCTAGGTATACCTCAACAATTCTATTGTTTGCCGATTCAGTCCAGTTGATTGACATTTCACTGTTTCAAGAGTACATTTATATTGTTGATTCCAAATTCGTTAGTGTTCTATATACACTATTTTTAAATTTGAAAATGGAATGCGATTTGAAAATACGCATCTTTTGTTATTTTCTTAAGTAATTTTGTATAATTTTTGTGGCAGAAGTAAATAACAAATATTGATGATAACTTTTATAAAAGGTGGTTTTAATAAGCTACATTCATTTCAATAGTTGGCTAACCTAGTTACCTAAGAGTATGTATGTGGTATGTATATGATACAAGGTAACTACTACTTATACTAATATTAACACAATGATAAAATATTTGTTATGAACAAGAACAAGGATCTTAAAGTGACCTGCTCGGGCTGGGTTATAAAAAAAAACAGCAACAATTTATAAAATAAAAATTTGTTGCAAATCGAAATTATTTTCTGAGTCGACGCACTATTTTATAATTGTGAGTATTTTACACAATATTTTTTATCACCTGATAAAAATAAACATGATATTTTAAAAATAATAAGCAAGTAGGACAGAATTTTATTCATCAAAACATCTTCCGGTAAAACGAGAAACATCAGTTATCGACCAATCAATCACCAATGGACTGGTATCATTCCAAACCACGTGTGGGTTATCGAATTACAAAATCGTAATTGATAGCAGATCGAAAGTGGATACCGCTATTATGTGACATTTTTCTGTTCGTGTTTATTCTGATCATGATTGTATTCATATGATACTTTCGGTCGCCATAGAATCTGGGGTTTCAGGGTAAGCGCAATAAGATACCGTGGACAAGGTTTTAAGTAAGTAATCGCCTAACACTCACTCTCGCCTCATACTGAACGAGATTGGCTTCTCTCAAAAAAAAGTTGCCCCACACTCGAATTTTCTCCTATGTCCTGTGTGTGTGGTTACAAATATACAATTTCACATATACATGACAGCCAGACCCGGAACAACAGTTTGTGGATCACACAAAGGGTTGTTCCGTGCGGGAATCGAACCCGCGACACGTTGCACGGCAGCCAGTTGCCCGCCACCGCACCAACCGTGCAGTCATAAAGATTTGTTACTATATGTATTGAAAACTTTGAGAATGTAATGTAATGTTTTTTGTTCAAAAGTTTTTCGGACTTTACTTATTTTAATTATTGACTATTTAGGTACAATAATTTGAGATAATACGAGTTTGATATGTTACATTTTCGTGACTGAGATAATTACAGGCAAACCTATCTTTTTAATTATTCTGACCAGCAGTATCGTGTTTGAACTGACAAAAGGTCCGAAGTAAGGATCACTATAAAATGACTGTTTGGTTATAGGAAAACCTATTAATTTTGAAACATTAAACCATAAATAGGTTTGGATTGAATAAAAGTCAATCTAGTAGTTCATAAAACTTGGACTAAATGATACTTATGTCTCTAATGTCAATGAGAAATAGACTTTATTTATGTTCCTTTTAGAGTCAAAGTCAATTTGTTCAGAGAATCTCGTTATCTGATTTTGTCATCGGGTATTAATTTGACTTTAATTAAAACACTTTATACTAAATTCTAAGAAATTTCATTATTTAATAGTTACCTTACATAATGTTTTGTTACCAGTAATCGGATCTTGTATTTCGCTTTGTTTAATAATTAGTATTTTTACATAATTAAATGTAATTTAATCAAATTCAGCCACAAATGTTCCCTTGGTATTTAATTGATTATCGAGTTCAATCTGCGGTGGTTGGATATATTTTTATAATGCTTAATACTTGCGTTAAATTTCAAAATGTACGATTACACTAAATCATATGACAATATAATTTTAATCGTTAACTTGAATTAAAACTATAAGGAGTGTTGCGGAATCCTACTTTCAGGAAAATACTTAAAAAAAGTTGATATCACATGTCGTATAGAAAAAAAAAGAAAATCTTATTGTAATACTGTCAATTCCATGACAGCGAACGTCCCTGTAATCGGAAAATCTACCAACATAAACAATGTGCCATTTTCGACTTTATTGCCTCAGCCGACAGTTCTCTTTTCTCTCAACAATTTTCTAACATATGCTCGAAGTATTGGTATTATTCTTTTTATCAAAAAATATTGTTCCTTTGAATTAATAGTGTTAAATAAAATACAACCATAACACGCGGACCTAAAACTTTATTTACGTTTTCATTCATGTTGGAAGGTTCGGTTAATCCTGTTTATTTTATATTTTTGTAAAGGTGTTGTTTATTTGGGATAAAACCCACACAATAACAAAAGCTTTTGTGCTTAAAACGTTGTTTAAAAAATAATTGTTTTCGGAAACAATTTTGGATGCTTAAAATAATAAATTATTGTACGAGTAGGTTTAAATTTTTAACAAACAAATTTATATATGCCCCTGGCTCTTTTACATGTGACAAGGAAAGTGAAGGTATATGTTTTGGTTTCCAGATCAAACAACAAAGTGATAAGATTCTATTTATCACGTTTTGCTTTTCTTCAAGTAAAAACTAAAATCTTAGCCCTTTTTTAAATTAAAACATTTGCGATACTTGTACCAGAGTCGCCCTTCAAACGAACAATGAAACAATTAATTTATATATAAAGCGTCAACATACACATTATACTTACATAATACATATCCCTAAACACAAAAAACGTAATAGTATCTCTGCTATCTAGTACTATTAATATGAAAATATTTTTTTAGATTGTTATATTGCCCAAATGATGGTGTTTACTTAAGTGTTATATACTTACATATAGCACGGTGCGGAAATATCATGCGGTGGGTAGACCAGGATCGGTGGGGATGGCACTGGGGAGGGGCTGTTCTTGCGTCTGCGCGCTACGAACACTCCCGCCATCACGATCAACAGTACTAATGCTGCGCTCGCGCCTCCCAACGCTACCAATACTGCTTCTGTTAAAAAAAATATAATATTATAATAACATTTTTTGAAATAGATGATGTCGTTAGGCTTGTAATTTATAGATGATAGAATTTTCAACTTGGAGTATATGATTAATTTCTTGCTCGTTCTTTTCCATTCAGATATATCCTTATCCATGTGGTTAAGTACTCGTTCTCAATTGGAGAACGAGTACCTATCCACATTTACTGACAAACAGACCTATCCACATTTACTGACAAACAGACTATCAAACTATTAATCTACTTTGGCGTTTCAAGAGTACCTATTTATGGTTTACTTGACAAAAATTATTTTGAATTTGATAAACAAAAAAGGATGAAAATTATTAAATTTTCATTCGCACCCAAGTCATGTATGAATTCGTTTACTAGTGTTTTGTTAATAAATTATTACCTGCTAATTCAAACCAAAATGACTCATACATTTCTATAAAATGAGAGAAAACTCGAAACAAAAGTATTTAAAAAATAATGGATTTCTGTATTTCCTAAGTAAAACAAAAATAATGCGTACAAAACCACTTGAGAAGTTTTCTGGAAAAGATTTATCGTGAACGAGTACCTTAAAATTACTTTTGTAATAAAAACAAATTCAGCATTTTGTTTCTTACAAACTTCTTATTAAGACTGAAATAATTTATTATTTACCGCTCCAGGATATAAATGTATTTAGTAACTACAGAATACACAACATTTCTTTAACAAAAGTAATTTCTTATATAAAAACATTGTAATATTCAATTTTTCTTTCTTTTTATTTACTGCGTATTTAATATTTAACGTAAAACTTATTTTGAGTCACGTATCATGAGGATAAACCTGTTACTATACGTCTGAACTAAGGATTTATTAACTTATACATATGTGTAACAAGTTGTTGTGTAATTTTGTTGAACAACTATGAAAATAAACAAAATACTCAATTTTTTTTTAGTAACACTAAATATTTTGAATCTAAACATCTGGCTGGCGATGATAACGACTTTGAAATTGGAAGACTTCTATGTATCTATGTTTTGCAATCAATAAAAATCAAAATTTTATTTGTAATGGGATAAGAATGGCACACTATGAGGTTAATTAAGTATTGGTATACGATCGGCGTCGAGCATAGACCGTAGGCCCAATCCTTCCCCCTCTCCTCTTTCTAATCCTTAAATATCCAAAAGCCTTATCCTCAAAAGATTGGTAATGCACTCGTAACTCATTTGGTTTTGCGGGTGTCCACGGGCGGCGCCGATTGCTTACCATCAGGTAATAAGTCTGCTCGTTGGCCGATTAAAATAGATACCACCAATACCAAGGGTGTTTCAAGTGCGTTGCCAAGATTTACTCCTTCAGTAACATACTCAGATTTTAGTTAAATTAATATAAACATTATTGCCTCTCATATTTTGAGTGCTATTTTCTTCAAACTGTTGTAAAGTTTTATTAGTTGTAAATTGAAGCGTTTTACACTTAAGTTTCTCTTAATTAATACTTTACTCTCGTCTTTAAGTGTCACGAATTGTTAGTTTTCGTAAATAGTTTTTATCTTTAGAGCTATAAAATGTAATCGAATTCATGATAATTGTAACACAACAAAATATTACTGTTTCAATAAATTAAATACTTTTGTTTGAATAAATTCAAAAGTAAAAATACCTATATTCGTAAAATATGTATGTGAGCATATTTTCTATTTGCCTTTAATTCGATGTGATTTTTACGTAAAATAAATATGACCAGTATACCGTTTGTTTTTATTAAATAAATATGATTTTTTTACAACAAACGAAGTGAAAAATCGTAAATGTTTTTTGTAATGTATATCAGGTAGCATTTTGTTCTTCATAGGAACCAAAAGTTGCTTGGTTTGTTTTATCACTTGTAAACCTTTGTTCGGGTTGTGGATCAAGCGTAATGATGTTAAACGGTCCCGGCTTGAACAGGAGAACGTTAACGTTAACGGGGTTGTTTTTAGTCAGTAAGAGTCCCACTAGGGGCGAGAGAAAGAAAGTCGTTCTGACTTTCGAACTGGTTTTCGTCAAAACGAAAACCAGTTCGCCTTCGATTTTTTTATGTAATAGATCGGCAAACAAGCATATGAATTACCTGATAGTAAGCAATCAGTGCCGCCCTTGGACACTCGCAAAAGAGGAATTACGAGGGCGTTGCAAACCTTTTGGGCATTTGGGATTAGGAGATTTAAGGATCGGGAAGGGATTGGGGGTGGGGAAGGTTCTTGAAACTTGGAGGCTTAAAAGCAAAAGACAGCAATAAAATAACAGATGTTTATTATCTTTATTCTTTTCAGTTCACCGGCTTTTGACTTGGTGGTTACAGGGTAAGAAAGAAAATATGATATTAAACCATGAATAATTTTATGAAGCTCATTAAAGCAAGCTTCATGTTGTATATAACGTCCGTACATAAACACTGACAATGAAAAGGACCTTAATAATGTCGTTAATGTTAGAAATAGACGCGCCACATAAAATGTTGTCAGAGTACTTAATTTTTATGTGAACGTAAATTAGATATTTTGGGTAAACTAATTAAAAAGGCAATAAAGTTGATGAAGACATTATTGTAAAATGGTGTTTTATTAATCACGACGTAAAACCTTGTAATTGGCTCATTGTTAATCTGGAGTAAAGTAAATCAGGGCAAATTGTTTGATGCCATCGTTTCTCGCTTTACATTATTGAACGACTGAGAAACGTTCCATTTTTATTTTCTATACTGACCTGGTTGCTATTATACATTTAAAAACGTTAATAAACAGTCACTGGTTTTCAAAATGATCGGTCTCAGAATACAATGAATATGACACACCAAATTTTATATACAAAAACATCATACTTTGTTATATTATATCATATACCTTTTACCAAATGAAATATCTATTCAGTATTTGACTATAGTAATAATTATATAAACAGCCAATAAAACCACAATATTCCAACTAAAACAGATCGCAATCTGTTGTTAGAGGTGGCGATAAACTGAACAGTGATAAGTCACCGATACCCTTCAGGGCGCTACCTAAGTAGGTTACAGTTCGATTCGTCTCAATCGATTTACGTCGGAAGATTTATTGAGAAGGATATATTGTTAGATTGATGTTTTATTTTGGCACAGTTTGGTCAATGTTATATTTACTAGTTTAGATTATTAGGCCGTGAAGTTGTATACATGCTACGACGTAGTACATTAGCTACGGCGTAGCTTTCTATCTACGGCGTAGGGATTTCACATAATTATCCAATATGTTAAGATTAGATAGTAGCCATCAATCTATAAATTTATTCGCAATATTATGTATAGTTACTAATGTGTGACTTCGATCGAAATCTTGTAAATCTGCTTAATAATTTCTTATTTCTATAATTTTAAGTTCGTTTTTTTTAGTTTTGTATTTTTTCTTTTCAGTAAAGTGAAATACGCGTGTAGTCTTTCGCTTGATTTGATAATAAAGGCAAGACACAGCAAATATTTTTATATAAGCTAAAATAGATATAACCTGATGGAACAGAAATTACACGTGTGTAACGCATTACATATTTTCTTGAGTTACTTTTAACACATACGTAAAATGAAATAAACAAACCTCTCAAATTCACAGCATTCGCAATTGAGAACTCTGAGACTGATGCAGAAGTTGGCGACTGCTCAAAGCTTGGTTTTGGAGGAGCGGTCTCGAGCTGAGTGAGGCCTTCCACGTGGCGTGACGTCACTGGGTCTTCGTATTCCTGCGGTCGGTCATAGTAGTCAGCGTTCTGTTTCTCTCTTGGCTCCTCAATCTCGTCTGGATCGTAGTCCGAATCGTAATCTGTTGACAAGGGACGGAAAAAAAATATTTATTAAATTTTAAAATAGAGAATCTTATAGAATTAAATCTACGTAAGTGTGGGATAGCCATTCTTCGGCACGATGGGGTCGGCTCGACCGGAGAGATAACAAGGCCTCACAGAAAACCGGTGTGGAACAATCACAGAATTATGTTTCGCCGTGTGAGTGAGGTCAGCGGAGGCCCAATCCTTCCCCTCCCCAATCCCTAAATCTCCAAATCCCTGATCCCCAAAAGGTCGGCAATGTACTCGTAACTCCTCTGTTGCGATTGTCGATGGGCGGTGCTGATTGCTTACCATCAAGTAATAATCCTGCTCGTTTTCCGACCTTTTACTTAAAAGAGACGTTTTTCTACTGATCAAATTCATACTTAGAACTTCATTCATAAGTACAAGAAAGTTCAATTAGTTTTCTTCCACTTTATTTTGAAGTAATAGGTATATAAAGTCTATAGTAATAATTAGGCCGTGTTAACAACCAACCAAAACCTGTTCACTTGATTTCAAGGTCAGACCTTCATTGACATATTCAATACCAATAACCTTGATAAGTATGATATTATGATGTAATTGTCAACATTCCATCAATTTATTTGATGTTACGTAATATTAAAATCGATAGTAAACTATTGCCCTAGGTAATAATAATATGTGTAGGTGGTAATTGCGTTGTATTACTAATTATCGTTTGTGATGATATAATAAATTATGAATGTTACTCTTTCACGCAAAAACTATTGAATAAATCTTTATGACAGTAAAAGAGTATATTTCATGATTAGCCTATAAGTACCCACTGTTGAGCAAAGGCCTCTTCTCACACGGAGAACGGAGGTTTGAGCATTAATCACCACGCTTGCTCAAGGCGGATTGGCGATTTCAAACTTATTATTAGGAGTTATAAGTCTAGGTTTCCTCACGATGTTTTCTTTCACCATTTGTCAGTGGTGTCTTAATAAATCATAGAAAGTACATATAACTCGGAAAAGTCACATTGGTATTTGCCAGGTTTCATACATATCATAAGAAACGCCAGTCCACCTATCACAATTAAAGAAAATACATGAAAGACTTTTATCCTGATAGCATAGATGAAGCCGCTGACAGATATTAATGTATGTATTTGTAATCTAACCTCAAAGCGCACAGAATATTCATAAATAATCTGGAATCGGAAAAGATTAAATTATTACATAACTAAAGCATTAGGTAAGTACCAAATAAAATGGTCCCTTATTCCACACAATTTCTACAAACATAGACCAGCTTACAATAGGAAAAATCTCTTACACTAACGGAAGTAGCTACTAATCAGTACTCGGAAATTCACGAATTATACGAATGGGTCTCTTAATCAGATTAACGGAAGCGTTGAGTTAATATATGTACAGGTACTCCTAGTTTCATATATTATCTGATAAATATTCTGTAATGGTTGCCAAATGTCATCTGTACATTACATTTGCATATTAACCCACTTTAGGTTATTTAAGTACGTCACACGTCTGATTTTAAGGACAAGCTAGGTGCTACAATAAAAAGTAAAGCCAAAAAAATAGTAAAGATTAATATTCATATTCTGTGATATGGTCATATGGTAATATCGATTTTTTAATTCAAATTAATGTTAAAATCAACGATTTTCTATGAATTTTATCTGCATCATTTTTCATTTTATGCTACAAATAGTATCTTATACATTATTATGTTTAAAAACCGGCTTGTAAAATTCGAAAATAAATTAATAAACTTTCAAATCAAAGACTGAGTTTATTTTTATTTATGACATTTTATTACATTAAATATTCAAAATTTATTTTTTATTGAAACAAGCACCTAATTGGTTTTATTTTATTCAAAATTTGTAAAATAAATTTTGCAATTTGTTACAATAAACAGAATTAGTTAGTTAACTCAATTAAAAAACTAACTTTAACATTTAAAATAAAGCTAGTTTAACTTTTGTTCTCAATAATCCGTGACTGCTTTATGAGGTTTGTTAGACTACTAAACCTTACAACTTAATGTGTTTTCGAAACACTCAACTAATTGAAGATTTTGAGAATATTCTAAAATATTCTACAAATTGTAGAATTAATTTAGACTTTAGAGTTTTTATACTATTTATTAGGCATCATTCTTACACATACTTAATTATTAAAAATATGTGTCATGATTTTGAACCCCAATCGTGACTTGAAACTAACAACTTTTATATTTTACTAAGGTTTTTTCCACCACTACCAAAATAAGTAGCGGAAAAACTTATGTGGTACATTTTTAACGCAAATTACATTACATGTTTACATTTATTTGTTACATAAAGAGCTATTTAAATATATTGGAACATCCTTTTATTTTACTATTGAAAACTAATTAAAATCTAAATAACTATAAGTATACCCACTCTTAAGAGAAATCAAAGTTTAGGAAAAGGCCAATAGGCAACCATTTTCTGACACTAACAGAATCCATTATCGGGGAGAAAACAAGGTCATTGATTACCTTACCCTTCATTAAATCAATGTCAGTACAGTCAGCTCCGTGCTAACGGAACATTGATTACAGGAGTACAATGACCTCTGCATGTGTAATTGACCAATCAGACGGACAATCATTGATATTACATTACTGATATTGGTTGTGGATTAAGTAACAGAATGTAGGTTCATTGTAGGTAATTTATGATGTCGTCACTTATTATGTAGTGTAATCCTTTGAATATATTGCGTTTTCTTTGAAAACTTAATATTATCGTGCTTAATAAAAAGTTTCATTCTTTGAGAGGGAAAAATCGTACGACTTTTTCACCCTGGTAGTGTCATGTTCTTGCTTACTAAAAACCAGTCGATTCCTTATCCAGCTTGCACTCACAATCTAGGCTAGAGATTGGCCCTAGTGGGGGCCCTTCTTTACGCATAAAGAAACGATGGAGCTCCCAAAGCCGAATTTAAAAAGCCGATATATCCGCCGCCGCCATTATATAGGCTCAAAATCCTAAAAAAACATTCTTTATTAGAATGCCGGTAACTTCACTCACACGGCGAAACCCAATGTTGTAGAGTACCTGGTACAAAAATAACAAATACATTGATTTGTTTTCTAGAAATTCAGGATCAACAGTTATGCCATGGGTACTATGGTATTTCATCATTATTATTGTCATATAACACATAATACATTATTTGATTATCTTAGGCCTCCCCGATGACCTTTAGTTCGACCTTTATCCAGTATCTCCCAACCACCTTTATCAGGTTGTCAGTTCACCTTGTAAACGTTTGTCCTGGACGATGACCACAAGACCTAGATCTAAACTTAATAAAAGTTCTGAAATAAATTATTGTGCTGTACAAAGAATAAAGTTTTGATATAATAACATATTATTATGAAGGTGACGTAAGCCAATAAATTATGACACATATTGCGTTACAAGCTTGACAACGCCAATTATTGTTATTATCTTTTGTCAAATTGCCCTGTTTAATGTTATTACGCATGACTCCGGGTGTTCTTTATAAGTTTGTGAACAATGGAATAATTTTAGGTATTCTAGGGTCAATATATGACCCTAGAATACCGAGTACCGATACTAGAGTTGGATATATATATATTATATTGACAATATAATATACTTATATATATTGTCAATTTTGCTTGCTAAGGTTTGCTGTGACAAAAATCAGTGCTGTGATTTTTTTTTTATTATACCTGTCTAGTCCATAAATACTGTAACAAATAAAAAATGTTTTTTCTATTGCAAATAAAATTTATAACTTTAACAGTATGTAAGTTTAATACATAAATATAAAACAATTTAAAACATAAAAAGCTTATTCGAAGTGGTCTCCATTGGCTGCAATACAGTCCTTTAAACGGTGAGGCTAGTTATCAATAGAAGCACGCACTCTTTCCATGGGAAAATTCTTCACTGCCAATCGTATGGATTGTTTTAGGGAGTCCAAATTATCATGACGTTTAGAGCAAGCCCTACTCTCTAAAACTGACCATAAATCATAATCCAGCGGATTAAGATCGGGACTAGACGACGGCCAGTCTTCAGCTCTGATGAATTCGGAAACGTTCGTTTCCAACCAAGACTGCGTGGACCGAGCTTTATGGCCCGGCGCCAAGTCTTGCTGGAAGGACCATTGTTGGTTATTGAACATGGTGGTCGGTGGTCGGTCTCTTTATCACCCCACTCCATTTTAATATCGCAAAATATTGAACAATTTATTGGCGCCAAAATAAGAAAACACATTGAAAATTTATATAAAAATGACAGTTTCCAAATTCAAATGTAATATTTTGTTTCTTTTTAATTGGAACAGTATTTATGGCCAGACTATGTATTGTCAGTTATGCTTGCTGAGGTCGGTCTGTGTCAAAAATCAGTGTTGCACATTTTATATCACCAAAACCTTGAAAATCTGGCTTCAGGCTTAAATCGCCTCTTCTATTCGCTAGTGTAGTGCGCTCCAGCTTAGTGAACTGACAGTACCCCTAGAACTGGCTGGTAGTAGTTGGATTAGAACGTGGATTAGAAGAGCTTAACATCGAGGTTTGTGGCGTGCAGTTGGAGAGGCCTTTGTCTAACAGTGGAAGAAAACAGGCTGATGATGATGAGTGGCAACTTGAAATCTTGTAATTATAAGTTCGATTTTTGACCTAATACTTAATCCTAAACTTGGAAAACACCAAATGACCAATTTTGTATTAAAAATTAATTTTTTTATTCAAAATTGGTCATTACCGACAAATTAATTTTTAAAATATTAGCAGCTGATCTACTGTACAACTCATCAAAATTCGACACAGAAAGGTCAAAGTTGAGTAGGTACTAATCACATCCGGCCAATATGCTAATTATTTCATGAAAGTGATTAACTTTATCGAATTTTAATGGGATACTAGATGATATCAAATTTAGTTATTCTTACAGCCTTTTAAAAATATGATATAAATCCCTATAATAAACGGT